GGAGGGGTGGGGAAGGGGAGGGGGAGAGGTGGGGGAGGGGTGAGAGGAGAGACACAGCACACTACATCAGCAACTACACACCCGGGGTCAAACCAACCCACAAACCAAAAATTATAATACTATTATGCTTTATTATACACCCACATCAACACAATTTAGGTCGTTTACGAGAAGCTGCTATTGAAACATTTTTTAATTGTTGTCATTTCCAAAGAAAGGAACTCTACATGATGGGGTTCACTCTGTGCACTATTGTGATCCCTCTTCCTTTACTTAAAACTTTTTAAAAATGTACATGTTTTCATGTCCCCATTGCCAAAATGTACATCATTCAGGAGGGGGGCTTCCAAAGTCAACCTGGGCTGAGTTGGATACAACATCCTAACAGAAAGACTGAGCGTCAGATACCCGATAAAAAGTTCATTTGCACACTCTCAATGTCAGACTTACACTGGGTGTTTCATCTTTGTGCATTGGCACAGACCAAATTGTGCTTAATCACCTCTTACATTCGTTACATCTCAGCTCCCCCCCCCCCCCAAGGGGAACAACCCACACTGGTTTGGGCTATATAATCTCCAACTCTGTCCACCTATACCCCTGGTAAAAAGTAAATATACTTTACGGAAATATTATTTTAATACAGCGGTAGCCGAATTTATGAGCTGAGTTACCTTTCTCTTTAATTCCTTTTTTTTTAAAAAGATATTTCATTTTAAAAAAAAATTATTTTTAAAGCGGTAAGGTGTAAAAAGAGGGAGAACTCACACTAGCCTGGCTAGGCCTGGGTGTGGGGTTAACCCCCTTGTTGATGAGCGTGGTGGTGGCGTAAGGGGCCACAGACGAGGCCACCGACTGACCGGGCCGCTGGTAGAACGTCTTCATCTGGGGCATGGACGTGGCCGAGCTGTACACCTGTTGCTGACCACTGTCCACTCCACCGCCCTCCTTGTGGCCACCACACTCCAGCAGGCTGGTCAGGTCCGACTGTAGGCCGCCGTACGCTGCTGCGGACATGATGATGACGGGGTGGTGGTGTGTTGTGGTGGTGGTTAGGGGGGGGGGGGAGGAGATATGTCATGTTGGTTTTTTAAAATCTTTTTTCTTCTTGGGGGGTTTTGGTGGTGTTGTTTTTTTTGTCTTTTTATTTTGTTTTGTTTTGGGGGTACTTTTTTTTCGTTTGTTTCTTTTTTCCCGTTTCAGTTTTTATGCCCTACAAATGCAAAAAGTAGGTGACACTACAAAGGCAGATAGTAGGTGAAAGTCTTTTTCAAAACGTGCAATGCTATGGTAATATAATATAATTGGTCTGACTGCACACCTGCCCAGTTAATTATCATTATAAAGAGTAATTGTATGTGGGTAGTTGTTTTTTTTTTCAGTTTTGAACACCATACAGGACAAAGCTCTTTTCCATCCCAGAGCCACATTGATCTGTGAATATTTCCTTGTTCTTTTTGTTTAAACCTTCAATTCTTTTTTTTTTCCCCATCTTTTTTTCTTGGTTTTTAAAAAAACTTTTTTAATGTTTTGCCTATTCTTTTTTTTTATTTTGGGGGGGGG